ACTCAAAAATAAAATATGTCTAATAACATATACTAACCCAAAGTGTATAGATTATAAAGGTATATTATAAGTTATGATTCATAACCATGTAAACATTGAAATCTCCCCTCCCGCAGCCAGGGGCGTATTTACTTACTTCTAAGGGGGGTGACTAAACTTTTTTTATAATTCTTAAAATGTACAAGTAAAATTGTTGGTAATATTTAATTACAATTAAATACAATTTAATTATATAGTACAGTGGTTGTCAACCTTTTTGGGTCCACGGCTCCTTTTGATTTTGAAATAAAATAAACGGTTCCCATACGAACATTTAAAATTAACAAATTTGTATTATTTATAATAATTTTAATCTAACTTTATTTAATGATAAAAATAAAATTAAAAATTAAAATTATTATTAATGTATTAATTTTTTAATTGTATGTAAAATATAAATCTCAAAAAAATGTTTCCTATTATTAATACCTAATTACATGTTTATCATTAAATAAAGTTAAACATGTAATTAGGTATTAATAATAGGAAACATTTTTTTGAGATTTATATTTTACATACAATTAAAAAATTAATACATTAATAATAATTTTAATTTTTAATTTTATTTTTATCATTAAATAAAGTTAGATTAAAATTATTATAAATAATACAAATTTGTTAATTTTAAATGTTCGTATGGGAACCGTTTATTTTATTTCAAAATCAAAAGGAGCCGTGGACCCAAAAAGGTTGACAACCACTGTACTATATAATTAAATTGTATTTAATTGTAATTAAATATTACCAACAATTTTACTTGTACATTTTAAGAATTATAAAAAAAGTTTAGTCACCCCCCTTAGAAGTAAGTAAATACGCCCCTGGCTGCGGGAGGGGAGATTTCAATGTTTACATGGTTATGAATCATAACTTATAATATACCTTTATAATCTATACACTTTGGGTTAGTATATGTTATTAGACATATTTTATTTTTGAGTCATATCTTTTATATTCTGCTATTCCTAATAATTTGTGGAATCATTAATAACATTGTTGAATAGGTATTAATCTTAAATCTAAAAATAAATTTAATTTTTTTTTAATGTTTATCGAATATTTTATTTTACATTAATAACATAAAAAATAATGAGTTACTCTATAAAAATGAATTTTCTATGTACCGCATAATTGAAAAAGTAATTTCATTACTGCAAATTATAATTTACGTTTCGTAAGTAATACAACAGTGCTAATTTAATTTTTAGAATAATATTTGTATCCTGGATTTGATAATCTAATTACATTCTGATCTAAATTATAAGATATAAGATTAAATTAAATTTTAATTTAAAGAATATTTATTTACATTTTTAGATTTAGTTCATTCGGCTAATATCAATGTAATAATTTTATACAGCAGTTTATATTGGTTTATACCAAATAAATACAATTGATGTCCAATAAGAATTTTTATATTTTTGTCGACTTTTAAGAATTTATTTTTGTATTTCTTCTAATATTTAAATACAATTTAAGATAAATAATAATTATCATAGTTTTGTCAGATTATTTAATTAACGTCTTCGAACGGGTAAATTATCACTTGATATGGTCACACTGGGGGAATTCAGACTTTTTACTAGTGTCTTTGGAACCCGTATATTACGTATGTTGTGTTTTCTTTTTCGTTCGTGTTCTATTTACATTATTATTATTAATAATATTATTTTTCTAATACTACTGGAACCCTTAGCTGATTTTACGTTTTTTTTTCATTGTCACCCTATTAACGGTAACTTTGTGGCGAATAGTTTACGGTTTTTATTATTATTAGCTATTTTTTGTGTACTCTCCGTGGCCGTTCACGACGTTCCACACGAATTGCCGCCGGAACAGTTTACTCTAATCTTCATGCCATCCACGATCGTTTGTAATCAAATTTTAATATCATTCGTGTAACAATTATGTGACTAACAAAAACACTATTTTACCTACCCGCGTTTGTCTCTTTCACTAGCTGTACTTAGCAATGTGACATTGTTGTTTACTCAACACCGGTCTCTCGTTTTGTAAGTACTTCTTCGATCATGTCCCTCGTTCCGATATTGTAAACCACGAGTCGTTTGCCAACAAGCAATACCTAACCTTTTGTTTTTGAACAATAATCGTTTTCATTATTTATTATTAAATCATGGGATTAAATAATTTTGCATGGTATATTTAACTATTAATTTTCTCTCCAATATTAAATAATTAGTCCAGCGTTTTTCATCAGTTTATTTTAAATAATTAAATTAAATTAAAAAAAAAAAAAATCGTTAAAAAATTACTTAAATGCCCGTCTGTTACATGTTAACATTTTTTTAAAACAATTTATTTTTATACTTAATTTACCTTAATTTTATTTCTCTATAATTTTATAATCGATTCAATTTTATATTACCCATCATACATTGGTGTTACATACAATATTCAGTGTATATATTAAAATTTAATAAAATATTTTTAAATAAATTCCAGTTGGTTAGTAAATTTATTTTTGTGTAAAGCTAACACATTTTTTTTATTATATTTTCATCATGATAAACTTAAATATGCTACTACTAAGAAGATAATAAAATCCATTTACTTAATTATATTTTTTAATTTTTTCAGGTTATATTTATCAATAATTTGAAATATGCAGGAGGATATGATATATCCGGCTGGTTGCCGTCCAGTTACTGATGATTTAGGTCCAGATGAACTTATTCGGCGATTGAAAGTAAATACAATTATAATGTCTTATACTCAATGTATTTATTATTTATATTATAATTTCATAGACTTTAGCTCATACGCTTCAAGCAATGGGTCAAGATGAAGGCATGTATCAACAGTATATACCACTGACTTTACATTTAGCTGAAGATTATTTTCTAAAACATATTAGTAAAGATGTACAGCTGTTAATAGCTTGTTGTATTGCTGATGTTCTTAGAGTCTATGCTCCTGATGCTCCGTACAAAGATCCAGAACAAGTCAAAGTTTGACAATATTTATATAAATTACAATTTAATTAAATTCAATACATTTTTCAAATTGAATTTACTTATTTTTGTTTCAGGGTATATTTATGTTCCTAATAAAACAACTTGCAGGATTAAAAGATCCTAAAGATCCAGCATTTAAACGATATTTTTATCTTTTGGAAAATCTTGCTTATGTTAAGTCTTTTAATATGTGCTTTGAATTAGAAGACTGTCAAGAGATATTTTGTAAACTATTTTCACTGATGTTTAAAATTGTCAAGTAAGTACATACATTACATTCTTTTTAATTCAATATTTTACTTAAAATATCTATTAGTGATGAACATTCAACCAAAGTTAAATCATTCATGTTGGATATATTGTGTCCCCTTATCTGTGAATCTGATATGGTAGCCAGTGAACTACTTGACATTATATTAATAAATATTGTTGAGCCCAATAAATCACAAAGAAGAAATGCTTACTCATTAGCAAAAGATCTTATCCTCAAATGCTCAAATACTTTAGAGCCTTACATTCAATCGGTTTGTATTTATTTTAATTATATTGTATTAAATTGACTGATATTTTTATTTTATATTTTAGTTTTTTAATCATGTTTTAATATTGGGCAAAAACGAAAAAAATTTAGCTATAAGCACAAAGACTTACGATCTCATTTATGAATTGAATAGAATTAGTCCATCTGTACTGTTAGCAGTACTTCCACAACTTGAATGCAAATTGAAGTCAACAGTTGAACAGGAACGCCATGGCACTGTATCTCTTTTAGCTCGCATGTTTTCTGAAAGAGAATCTAATCTGGCTAAGCATCATAGTGTTTTATGGCAAGCATTTCTTAGTCGATTTAATGATATATCTGTTAGCATTCGTATTAAATGTGTTCAGTATGCAATGCATTTACTTTTAAATCAACCTACTCTTCGCCAAGATCTGACAGAAGCATTAAGCTTAAGAAGTTCTGATAGTGATATGAATGTACGCCATGAAACTGTAATGGCTATTGTATCTACAGCTAAACATGATTTTGAACCAATTGCAGACCATGAAGAATTGCTCTTAGTTGTTAAGCAAAGAATGTGTGACAAGAAGGTAATTATTTTGTATTTGAATATGTAAAATATGATTTATTAATTTTTATTAAATTTATTTTAGTTCAAAATTAGAAAAGAAGCTACATCTGGTCTAGCATTTATATACAAAACATACTTGAATGATCCTGATGTTCCTCAAGCTACAAAAAAAGCATTTACATGGATCAAAGATAAAATTTTACATGGTTATTATAGAACTTGTGTTGAAGATAAATCATTAGTCGAAAGACTTGTGAATACTTCTTTAGTACCTTATCAACTTCCACCTGAAGAGAGAATGAAGAGACTTTATCATTTGTATGGTACTATTGATGATTATGCAAAAAAATCATTTATGGAGATACAAAAAACTCAATTATTGTAAGTGATTTATTGTACTTATTTAAAAATAATTTATAATTTAATTTTTGTTTAAAAAAATGTAGAATACGTTCACACTTGAAAGATTTTCTTGATAATCATAAAAAAGAAGATAGTCCACAAAGAGATAGAGAAATTCAGGCCAGTATAAAATTATTGACACGATATTTACCAGAATCGGTTAAAGCAGCAGAGTTTATAGGAAAATTTTCACAACACTTAATTAAAGATTCTTCACTTTTAAGTTGTAAGTTAATTTTTACATGTTAAAAAAAATGTATAATTTTAAATATGTTATTATAAAAAGTTAATATTATATTTTTCTTAAAGCTATGGATACAATTGCAAAGCAGAATTCAAGTACTGCTGAAATATCTGAAGCAACTAATTTAGTATTGCGAAAACTTGGGCAACCTGTTATGACAAATCTATATTATAACACTGTAAAAGCACTTCTGGAAAGAGCTTCATCTGTTATGATTGACTCTCAGGCATTAAAGGTAGACTATATCTATATTAAACTAGTTAACTGATGTTAATTTTATAAGCCTAAAATTATTTCAAATAAATTTATCAAAATTGACTTTCATTACTTTTAACTTAAATTTATATTAAAATATATAACTTAACTATTTTTTTTTTTTTTTTTAAACTGTGTTTGTTTTGTATATTTTAATAAAATAATAATTTTTGTATTTTATATAAAGTTTAATATTTATATCATACAACTTATTAAAGTTATTTCAAGAATATTATCTAACTTTATTTAATTAATTAATTATTTTTTTTTACTTTAGGCATTATTTAACCATGTAGAAAACTGTTTGAGTGGTGGTAACATGATTGAAGAACTTGGTTTACATCCAGGAACTGCTGGTTACAGAGGACTTGAACTTCTTAATGTAATTTAGTTAATAATATTTATTTTTTCCATTAAGTAATTTAACAACATTATACTTTTAGGTATTGTCAAATACGTTTGCCTGTCACTTTTACCATCCTGATATTTTAGATAAATTATTAGATCTTTCACATCATGATGATGAATACATTGCTCCTCAAGTTCTGACTATGTTGACTACAATTGGCAAATATAGTGCACTTGGTAAATTTGTCAACTCAAATATTTTTTATTATATTTATATTTATATTATTATAGGTGATTCGTATCCGGAATTTACTGAAAAATTAATTCCAATATGTAAAAAACTGGCAGTTAGTGGTACTCCAAAACAAGCTAAAGGAGCTATACGATGTTTATATGTAAATGTATATAAATCCAAAAATGATATTTTTGATGATATTGTGGAGGTAAAATTTGTAAATTTTATTTATATAACATTATTTATACCTTTAATGTTTGACATTTCAGAAAACTAAAATGAATTTGGAACCAGATTCTGATCATTATGAAACTGCTATTGTAGCTCTTGGGCACTTAGCTATTAATGTAGCTGAAAAATACAATGTTCATTTCAAAAATATGATTTCTCGAAAGGTAAGATAATGAATAAATACTCTAATTTTCTAAAAGTCATCAATTTATTATTTAATTTAAAACCTATGGCTATAGTTATAAAAAAAGATCCAGGAGCTAATTGATTAGTCAGTCATATGTCAAAAATTATAGATAAACCATTATTAAAAAAGGGACTCTTTTTTTTTTTTTTTTAACAAAATCAATTCTCACGCTTATATAATTTATCTTCTCAACTATTTAACATAATTTTTTTGTTTTATTATGTTATCTGATATGCACAATTATACCAGAAATGTAAAAATTATTTCTATTAAATATAATAATATGTAGGTATAACTTTAAACTATGACTTATTTACTAGTACTATTTACTTTTTTACTTATTTACTTATTTACT